AAAAAAAAAAAAAAAAAAAAAATATGAATAAATGTTCACACTGGACAAAGGACATCTAAAAACAAAATGTATCCTTCTCAACAATTTCTCACTTGATTGATCGTTTCTAGTTGGAGACACTTTGTGGCAGAGTAATATCATCTCCTTTTAGCATGATCCAACCCAGTTGTTTTCTTGACTTTGTTTTAGAATGAATCTCTTCTGCATCATCTAATACAAGGTTCATATACTCATCAAAACCAATCACACAGGCTTTTATCCGCATATTCACTTGCTCATAGAGCCACGCCTGAATCCGCGATCTGTTTTGTAAGTATCTGAAGATGGGGTTGATGGGCTGCACCATAACCTTCTGCACTTTCTGGCCCTGGCCACGGTACGCCATGGTGGAATTTCACAAAGAGCACACCCGCACGCTGCCTCTGAGAGCTGCTCTCATTTTCTAACACACCCACCGTGGTGTGCTGGGTTGCTACGTGTGATCCAGGAGGCCAAGTTAAATTTCAGATAAACAATGAATATAATTTTCTTTTAGCACAATGTCCCAAATATTTCTTGGGACATACTTATATTAAAAAAAAAGTTTAGGCCAGGTGCGGTGGCTTAGGCCTGTAATCCCAGCACTTTGGGAGGCCGAGGTGTGCGCATCACCCGAGGTCAGGAGTTGGAGACCAGACTGACTAACGTGTTGACACCTCATCTCTACTAAAAATACAAAAATTAGCTGAGCGTGCTGGTGTGCACCTGTGATCCCAGCTATTTGGGAGGCTGAGGCAGAATCACTTGAACCCAGGATGCAGAGTGAGCCGAGACTGTGCCATTGCACTCCAGCCTGGATAAAGAGAGGGAAACTCCGTCTCAAAAAAAAAAAAGTTTAGTGTGAAATCTGAATTTAGGCGTCTTCTATTTTTATTTGCTGAATCTGGAAACCCATATACTCTAGTGACTATTCTAAGGGGGTCTCTAAAACATCTGGTCGTCAGATCCAGATTTGGGTTTCCATGGAGCCTCTGGTCAGGTCTCTAACATCATGATAATAATGTGGAAACGTGTTTTCTGTTTTCTTTTGTTTCTTTTGAGAAACTGTTCCTTGGAACTTCATGAGGAAGGTTAATGGACAGGATAGGACTTGGGTATTCCCTCCAGTGAGCTGCCATAATACAGTATTACATCTTTACTTTGGCCAGGTAGTGTCATGTGCCTGTAGCCCAAGCCACTCAGGAGGCTGAGGCAGGAGTATTGCTTGAACCTAAGAGTTCAAGTCCAGCCTAGGCAGCATAGCAAGGCCCTGACACTGAAAACAAACAAACAACAAAAAACAACCAAGCCAAAAACAAAACACTAAACACCTCACACCTCACTTCTTTGAGGTCTAAGCATTTGTAGTTTAGATTTTGTTTTTTGATTCAACCTAAGAGTTTTAGATGAATTTAACCCATGCACATTTATTGTGATAGCTGTTAGGTGTGGTCTTACTTCTGTTATCTTGTCATGCTTTTTGTTTTTAGTGAGCGATGTTTTCTTGAATTAATTTTCTTTGGTGTATTAGAAGATATACATCCTTTATTATAGCAGAGGTTATTTTAAATAGAAAATATTGAAACCATTTTCTTTACTTATCAAATAGCAAGAATAAAAATACCCATAATAGCATCTCAGGGGTTGGACAACATCACTCATCCACTTCCATTCATTCCTGTAAACCAGGAGTCCTGATTCCTTTCTTTTCCACCCTCCCACGTCTAATCCATCACCAAGTCCTGCCACTCGTAACTTCTGAACAGCTTTTGACTCTAGCCAGTTCTCTTCATCCTCATCACCACTGTTCTAGTTGTATTGGCTGTTATGTCTCGCCTGGTCTAAGGCAGTAGCCTACTCACTAGTCTCTCAATGCCCTTCTGGTCTCTCTCCTCTAGACCTGACCCTGAGGGAAGCTGTCCCCATTCTGCTTCCTTTACATTAAGAAATAGGATCTAAGCCTTACACCCTCTGAGGGCTGCCACACCTGCATGCGTTTCCTTCCTACGCTGTCTGCACACCAGCCATAATGGCCCATCTTGGCCACTCCTGAGCTCCGTGCTCTCTGCCACCACAGGGCCTCAGTATCTCCTGCTTTATCTTGTCTTCTTTCTGTTCGTGCAGAAGCTCCTGCCTGGCCTTTGGAGCTCAGCCTCCCCTGAACTCTCTGGCTCAGTTAAATTCCTCTATTCTTTTTTTTTTTGAGACAGAGTCTTGTTCTGTCACTCAGGCTGGAGTGAAATGGTGTGATCTTGGCTCACTGCAGCCTCTGCCTCCTGGGTTCAAGCGATTCTCCTGCCTCAGTCTCCTAAGTAGCTGGGATTACAGGTGCCTGCTACTACACCCAGCTAACTTTTGTATTTTTTGTGGAGATGGGGTTTCACCATGTTAGGCTGGTCTCGAATTCCTAACCTCAGGTGATCCCCCCCACCCCCCACCTTGGCCAAGACTCTGTTCCAAAAAAAAAAAAAAAAAGCTTAGATAAATTAAATATGCAGAAATAGAGAAAGTAGTAGGTTTTTTCTATGCCTGAAGATATGGGAAATTTATACTCATTCCATAGACTAACCCCTTGTATTGGCTGAGATTCCAGCAAGGATCAGAATCCTACTCAGTTGGATTTCATGGACTATTATAGAGAGGTGGGTGGGGCAAAGAGCCCCAAGCAAGGCTGCAGAGGCTTCCAGGCACCAGCAGCAATGGGAAGCCTGCAGGGCCGGGGTAGGGGATTGTGCTGCTGAAGTCCATTGACAGCTGGAGACAGAAAAGTAGAACCACCCAGGCTGGGTTGAGGGACTAAGCCACTGCCAGGAATGAGACCAGAAGAGGGAAGGAAGAAGGAAGAAATATCCCGACTTCTCTCTCTCCCCAGCCTCTGAAACCTGGAAGCCAGCCAGCAATGGTGTGCGGGTGATGCGGGTCTACAGGCGCCAACCTTCCAGGGCCCAAGGCAGGCAGAAAAATGGGTGGAGTGGGGATTGGGTTAAAGAACAGAGTGGGGCTGGGTGCGGTGGCTCACACCTGTAATCTCAGCACTTTGGGAGGCGGAGGCAGACAGATCACCCGAGGCTGGGAGTTCCAGACCAGCCTGGCCAACATGGAGAAACCTTGTCTCTACTAAAAATACAAAATTAGCTGGGTGTTGTGGTGCATGCCTGTAATCCCAGCTACCTGGAGGCTGGGGTAGGAGAATCACTCAAACCTGGGAGGCAGAGGTTGTGGTGAGCTAAGATCGTGTCATTGCACTTCAGCCTGGGCAGCAAGAGCAAAACTCCATCTAAAACAAAACAAAACAAAAAAAAAACAAAACAAAACCGACGGGGAAACAAGCCCAAGCCCAGACAGGGAAGGACTCTGCTTAGGTCATTTAGCAATGGAAGGGCGCCCGGAGGACTCAGCCCCTAGGTTTCTTATTCTCACAGGAGGGCTTCTTGCTCAAGCTGTGCTTGATGCCTTCACACACAGCTGCCTTGTCTCTTCCCATTTTCAAACGTTATTGTAAAAAGAAGTCAGAAAATGCAAACATTGTATGAAGAAAAGAATGTGCTGACATCTAGTCTTCCAGGCTGCCTCTCTGTGCACGAACACATAGTTATTTATTTTTAATTTTTTTTCTTTTTTTTGAGACAGAGTCTCTCTGTTGCCAGGCGCCAGGCTAGAGTGCAGTGGCGCGATCTCGGCTCGCTGCAACCTCCGCCTCCCGGGTTCAAGCAATTCTCCTGCCACAGCCTCCCAAGTAGCTGGGACTACAGGTGCGCGCCACCATGCCTGGCCAGTTTTCTTAATTTTAGTTTCAGGGGTTATTATGCCTCGCCAATATGTGTGGGCAGGTTTGTTTTGTGGGTATATATTGAGTGACATAGGTTTGGGCTTCTGCTGATCCCGTTACCCAAGCAGTGAACATAGGACCCAATAGGTCATTTTTCAATCCCTGCCCCTCTCCTTCCCTCCTTGCTTTTATTTATTTGTTTATTTATTTATTTTGGAGACAGGGTCTTACTCTGTCACCCAGGCCCACTGCAACCTCTGCCTCCAGGTTCAAGCGATTCTTGTGCCTCGGCCTCCAGAATAGCTGGGACTATAGGCATGCACCATCATACCTGGCTAGTTTTTGTATTTTTAGTAGAGAGGAGGTTTCTCTATGTTGGCCAGGCTGGTCTCGAACTCCCAACCTCAGGTGATCTGCCCGCCTTGGCCTCCCAAAGTACTGGGATTACAGGTGTGAGCCACTGTGCCCCGCCCCTCCTTGCTTTTAGAGTCCCCAGGGTCTATTGTTTCCGTCTTTGTGCACATACATTTAGTAAAAATGGGAGTGGGTTTGGTAAACCTAAAAGTACCTGAGACAGGCCTCAATCAATTGAGAAGTTTATTTTGCTGATGTTAAGGACATGCCCAGAAGAACAGAACACGGAATCACAGAAACAATCGGGGGTCTGTGCCTTTCTCCAAAGAGGATTTTGAGGGTGTCAGGATTTAAAGTGGAAAAGCAGGCTGGAGGGGGCCGAGGGAGGGTGTGGTCACATTGCTGAACTCACGTGTTGCCAGAGAGAAAGAGTAGGTGGGGGAATCATCAATTATGTATTCATCTAGCACGGTAAATTGGCATTTGAAGTAAGATAAGGTGAACTAGAGTAATTACCTGTAGAGATATGGCCTTTTATCTGCATCTATCTGCTTAGGCACAAAAGGAAAGACGGTTTCTCGAGTGACTCAGCTTTCAGCTTCATTTTTTTCCTTTTGGTAGAGGTGAATCGGAGTCCCAAGTTTTATTTTCCTATCACAGTTTAGTGAGTCTAGAGAGGCGGGTTTGCCTGCAAACTCAGAGTAGGACCTGCACGCTCAAGTCCTTGGAAGAAACAGGAGAAAAATGAAGAAAGAAAAGGGGTGGGGGTGGAGGGAGAGGGAATGGCTGATGCTTTGGCCAGCCTCCGTTTCCCAGCTGCTCCTTGTTGGGGCAGGAGAAACAGGCAAACCGCAGAGCATCTGTAAGTTCCCACCTGCGCTCCTGCGCCCTGTGAGTCTGTCTCAGTACTGTCCTCTGTGCTAGGGATATCCCAGCTCCCAGCTTCCTGGAAAGGTGTCGTGTTATCCATGTTAACACTTTGTGTGGGGCTCAGCACTTGTGAGTGCCTATTTAGTCCTCAGAGTCGCCCTGTGAGGGGCCAGGTCATGCCTACCGCATCCTGAAATGCAGTGCGCGCCCCACTGGAGGTATGTGAGTGACGCTCCACGGTGTTTTGATGGACAGTTTTAATTTCAATAATTACATATTGATATGGTTTGGGTTTGTGTCCCCACTCAAATCTCATGTGGGGATTGGAGGCGGGGCCTGGTGGGAGATGGTTGGATCATGGAGGTGGATTTCCCCCAGCTGTTCTCGTGATAGTGAGTGAGTTCTCATGAGATC